GGTACCGCGTTCTGCAACAACAGTTGCAACACGACCGGCAGCCCCGCCGTCTGCGCCGCTGGCTGGGACACGAGGTGCTCGCGATGTGGGAGTTGGTCGTTCCACGCCAGCCAACGAGCCCCTGCCTCTGAGGGATGGTGTGGGCTCTGCGGCATTTGACGAGGAGAGCACACGTGCATTTATTGAGAGTCGCAGGTGGGGGGGGAGTGCCGGCAGTTCAGCGCCTGCGCTCGCCCCTGTTTTCAGGAGTGATAGGCAGTCAGATGCCGCACGGGGTGGTACTGAGGTGGCACCTGGCGCATCACCCCACAGTTCGTCGGAGCACCCCTGGCTTCCACCTCCGCCGTCGAGAGCGGCGCAGCGTCCAATGGTCCACCACGCTCATGGAACCGCCCACCCGGATCCGTCACACGCATCTGCAGATGCGCGACATTCTGCTTCCGTGCCTCGTTTCGGGGAACAGGTGGATCATGGGGTGCCTGCCGAGGAGGTCCCCGCTCCGGTGTCCGATTCATCGCCGACCCCTGTTCCGACAACCACGGGCGGTGGTCTGTCTGCCCCACAGCCTCCACCCGTGTTGACCGGAACGTTAGACCCTTTGCAGCGCATTCGTGACCTTGCAGTCGCCCAGAGCGTGACACCTGTGAGCCCTGGCGGGTTGTTGGATGCCGGGGTCCTCAGCGGGAGAGCTACGACGGGACGATGTCGGGGCACTTACAGGCAGCAAGCCGTCACGTCATATTATTCGGACCCTTTGGAGCCCGCATGGCATCTGCAAATCATGCGGTTTATCGTCGACAGCGGGATGTCGTTCAACAGCACGAAGCTTGAAAGCTTCAAACGCATGTTCACGATGATAATCCCGTCGGGGGTTCCAGGGGCGCCCGCACCTAGACTTCCCTCGTACCACATGCTGCGCACGACCCTTTTGGACTAGCTGGATGGTGAGGTCCAGAAGTGTGTTCGACCGGTGCTTGACACGTCGAAAGAGACCGGTTGCACAATCATGACCAATGGTTGGACCAACATCCGTAGTCAGACGTTGTGCAACTACCTTGTTGGTACAGAGATCGGGGTGGTGTATGTGTCCACCGATGTCATGCGTGGCAAAAAGGACGCCAGTGCCCTCGCGAACGCATGGTTGAAAAGGGTGAAGTCCATGGACGTTCAATTGAGCGACATCACGACGTTCGTGACGGACTCCGTCGGGATGAACGTCGCGACGATGGAGGTATTCCAAAAAGATGAGAGCGTGAAACACATCTTCTGGATTCCTTGCGTCGCCCACATCATGGATCTCATTCTCGAGGACGTCGGCGGGATTGATTGGGTGGCTTCCCGCATTTCTCAAGCGAGGCTGGTTACAAGGTTCTTCAAGCGCCATGGACATGCGAGAGAAGTTCTTGAGGCGCACTCGACGAAGACTCTTCTGCTACCGGCGGAGACGCGTTTCAGCACGAACGTCATCATGATGGAGAGGCTGGTGGCACTGCGGGCCGCGTTGACAGATGTTAAGGCCGACGATCGTTGGCGCGAGACTGTTTGGTCGACCAGCAAGATCCGCAAGGATGCAGCGGAGGTCACTTCATGTATCGGCTCCCCTCCATGGTGGGAGGATTTGAGAGCTCTGTGCAAGATGCTAGAGCCCATCATGGGCGTGCTGAAGTTGGTGGACAGCGACACACGCCAGATCAGCAAGATTTTGCGACGTTACGAGGAAATGATTGCATCTTATTTATCCGCATGTCGTGACATTGATCGGGAGCAGCAGGACGCTATTGTGGAGGTGTTCCACAAGCGGCGCACCATGTTGAAGACCCCCGCCCACACGGCAGCCATGCTGCTAGATCCAGAGTTCCGGGACGCGACGCTTTGTGACGATGCGGAGGTGCAGCAGGCCTTGGTCGAGGCCCTTGTCCAGTTCGGCTACCCGGAGGATTCGCCGCATCACCGGGAGGTCCAACGAGCGGTCGCCAAGCTCCACACGAGGGAGCCCCCTTTCGATGAGCTCACCATGCGGCGAGCTGCGGATATCTTTGATCACCCTGCCAGTTTTTGTTCCTCAAAGAAGGCGAAGTTCCCTCACATGGCCGTGTTTGCAAGTAGGATCCTTCGTATATGGGCGACCGCCTCACCGTGCGAGAGAGCGTGGTCTCGTTGAGCTTCATTCATTCGAAGTCTCGCAACAGGCTGGAGGTTCCCCGGGCTGAGAAGCTTGTGCGGTGCCACTGGAACCTCAGGCTACTCGATCGACCTTCGTTGTGCGACGATGGTGTTGGAGAGAGGCTCGGCGTCTTCGGGAAATGGGTGCATTATTGGCAGGCCGTGGAGGACGAGGCAGCCGTGGACCAGCAGCTCGTCAGAGGCACCGGTGTTCTGGCGAAGGTGACCGAGGAGGAGTTGAGCCTCACCAGAGCGAGGATGCGGGTCATTTCCCGCATGGAAGTCGAGCGTTGGGTGGCAGAGTCGGACAGGAGGCGACGCAGGGCTGGTGGTCGGGGACGTGGTGGCCGTGGACGAGCAGGTGTCGGAGGACGTACACGCGGTGATGCGGGTTCCGCTCCTCGGACTCGGCGACAGCGGGCGAATGGTGGCATTCGCAGGGCCCGCATGCGTTGGGACGAGGGTGACTTCTTGTTCGACAGCACATCCAGCGACGACGACGATTTCTTTGCGTCGGGAACACATGCATGCACGGGTGATGATAGAGGTGACGCTGACGACAGACGCGATGACAGAGGCGACGGTGATGACAGAGGTGATGGCGCAGGGCCCGGGGGAGGGGGAGG